ACATGAAATTCTTTATTTTTGATTGGACAGTGATCTCATAAATGAATAAAGCTATATATAAACTTCTTGAACTACAATGAAACCTCTTGAGGATAGAATAATCTTATAATAATCATGATAGCCATCAAACTGGCATTAATATATATGTCAGGTAACAATCTCATTATGTTTACCTAAGTCTACTGTCAGTGATTAGTATTTATCAGAGATGTACCGCTTGTATTTATCTTCTAGACGATTTACTGAAGTCTGACACTCGCTGTGATTACTGATTTCTTTTTCATCTCTTAACCAAAAATCAGTTATTAAAGTCGGTTAAATCTAACAAAAAGTATAACTACAAAGTTAGTTACCCTGATCATTTGAAAACATTCTTCGAAATCAGTCTTTACAGATCTTTGTAAATTCCACTTCTAAAGTGGAGAGCTCAGCGGCGACTGGACTAGCTCAGTGGTAATGTCATTGACTACAACATTTGATAATGAGAGTTCGAGTCTTAATTCCTTCAACGTTGTGAACACTCCTTTTTGACGACTGCCAACCCCCCCCCCCAATCAGCCAATAGTCATCTATATTCCTTCTTAACAAATTTCCTTGTCATATAAGAATACCATCTACGATCCTTAGAAGAACCCTAATCAATTACGACAAAACCAACAGAAATACCATTAGCAACTCAACTCGGTACAAGTATGTAAGTCAGATTTCGAGTCACACTTGATGTAAAGGCTACTGGTAGTGCCCACTCACCGGATTGAAATGACTGACATTCAAACAGAAAATTCATTGTTTGGAACCCAAAAGTTTGGTTCAAAGATTTACAAATTTAAGTCTTTATAACCCACTGAATAATACTGTGTCACTATATCCTAGAAATGAAATCTGTTGGTCATCCATAATATCATTTTGACCTTCTGAGATACCCGTGATTTGGCAGATTAGTATTGATAATAGGTGATGATTGAAGGTGAAATGAAAATTTGGACCGCCGTGGGATTTGAACCGGTGACCATCGGGCTTCCTGCTCAGTGCCCTACCAACAGGTTCAAATTTTCAATTCACCTTCAGTTATCACCCATTATCCATAATATCTTAAATAAGTTTTCATTTCTTCCTCCCACTTCAAAATTAAGTGAGAAGCGTTTATCTCTTGAAAATAATGCTGTAACTCAGTCAGTAATGAGCTGTGAGTCACACTGTCAAATGGTTCCTTCCAGATGCTCCTGACATGAGTGCAAACAGTATTTAAATTTGTACGCTGACAAAACTACAGATGCTTTAAGAAGATCATTAGCTAGCTGTCAAGCAGTAATGGGTTGACAACCTAGCTGTCGCAACTGTTTACTATGAGGGAATATATTCCCAGTTCAGGTAATTTTCATTTTTCAGTTTCCTTGAGCAGTATTGACGGTTCAATTATAATTGCATCCAGAAATGTTGAAAACTTGATAATGTCGAAAAAAGTTACTTCTAGACGACCAAGACACTGAGGCATAACAAAATATAAGAAGCAAGGCACAACACTTCATCTCCAATGAAAACCAAAGATATACGCATACTTACTGAAGGTTAAGTTAGGCAGAAGAATAAAGAACTGCGTGCTCTCTCCAAACAATAAATATTTGATGCCTCATGAAATTGATCTAGCTGTGGTGACAAGACAATGTTGGTACTAGACAGATCATTAAACTTGTGTCCCTTTAGACTTCTATATACTTGTGGAAAATCAGTATTAGGTACTTTTCATTCAAATGATATACTTTGAAGAGTGCTCTCCTTTCATATTCCAGAAAGCATCTAGTTCACCTTCTACTTAAACGAGTTTACTGTTGCACAAATAAAACTTTTGAATATGATTAACGATACAAATCAGGTTAAGGATAAACATGAATTTGTTAGTCTTAAAATCGTGATCGCGCGTAGCACTACAAGTTTATCCCTCAAATAAAACCCGTAAAGATGATACAAAGAGTTATTTTCAATGTACAGTGAAATTTTTCATCATCGCAGTTTAAAATTTTACTGCCTGGTGCAATCATGAAAATGGTTTGGATAAACTAAGGATTTCAGTTTGAAATTCATCATGAACTGATATCAGTTGGAGGAACATTGGAAACCTGGAAGCACTAGACAGCCGTCTCGTCCTAGTATGGGATTCCTCAGCATTGCTCACCCATGCCCCTGTTCCGGCAGGGATCGAACCCAGGGCCTTCGGGTTCTGTGGCTAGCACGTTACCATTGAACCACTGGATTGGAATCCAGTCGTCACATCTCCTACTATTATCAGTTCACGATATAGCCCGACCATCACCCTATATCGTCGTTGGGTAACTGCCCTCATGTTCGACTTGGGTGACTCTAATGGTCACCACCTCTGACTAGAACTTCTAGAATTTCCTCTCAAAGCTAGTCACTAGTGAGTGTCAAATTTATTCTACCTGGAGGTTTTTGGGTGGCTGCGCACTGCTAAGGAGTCCATACTAAAACGAAACGACTTTTCAGGTTCCAATGTTCTTCCATTTGATGCCAGTCCATGATGAACTCCAACCTAAAGTCAATTAATAAATCTCCACAAACCTTCAGCTAGAATTAAACTAAGGATTTGTTAATCAAATAAATAGAAATGATGGTTCAAGATAATTTTTTGTTGGTAGGGTTTAAAACTGAAGCTGTTTTCGGTGATTAGCATGATTCTAAACTGTAAGACTTTGTCTACAGTAGACTTGCATTTTCTGAAAAGCAGTATATTATCACATTCAGGTTGCTTGTATTTTACGTTTTGATTTAATCATTACCATGAAATAATTCAACAATCAACGCGTGTACATTCAGATCTTGTTGCTGACCAAGACCTTGTTCAACGAATTGGTAACTGATCTTTCAAAAGTAAAAAATGCTTCTGAATTATGAAATAACTTTTGTTTTCTATCGAATTTATGTTTAGTGACCTATCAGTGTATTTAATCCAGTCCTGCTGAATGTCAATCATTATCTGAATAACACCGTGGTAACATCTCTGACTGAGTGACGCAGGTTCATATCCCACAGGGGATACGGGTTCGTTCTAGGTTGCTGATATACTTTGCTAGCACTTCCTAGCAAGTATGGAAGTTAGGTCCTAGACTTCCTGCGAATTCTCTTCATCGAAATAGCTATATAGTTCATTTATACTTTAGTGTTCACTTAATACAATCATATTCAAGTATTTTCAAATCAGAATCACATAAGCTATTGAATTGTTAAAAAACTAGTGACATTAAACAACCATTTTCTCCTAGCGTACACGACCAGGTCTCATGACAATCAAGTTATCACTAGCTACTGGGCTGCGGTCATTTGTTTTACACTTTTTGTCGATTCCCAGAACAGTGTAACCATAATCCAACGTCATCAATAAGTATTTATCCTCATTGCTGATGGGTCACATACTAGGATGATTTTACTGTCCACTGTTCCAAGGTTTTCACCGTTTCCCCAACTGATACCATTTATTGATGAAAAGTATTTTGATACTAATCAATTGACCCAGGCCCCTAATAATATTTGTGTATAGGTCAACCAATGTACCGTGTTGAATACTATTCACAAATCAAACGAATTAGATCAAAACCAACATAGAAAAAGCTGAAGGCACAAATAAAACAAATTTTCCATTCCCTACCAAACTAAACCATGTTTCAGGTTGGCAATGATCGCCGACTAACATCAGTTGGAGAACCATTAGAAACCTGAGAGCACCGGACAGCTAGTTCGTCCTAGTATGGGACTCCTCAGTAGTACGCACCCATCAGTTTGCATCACCAGGTTCCTCGGAAAGCTACTGAAGCTAATCACGTCACACGACAACATTAGATGGAGATCGCGCTATATCGTGAACTGACAGAAGTAAGAAATGTGTATCACTGAATTCCGGCCCAGTGGCTCAGCGATGACGTACTCGCCATGGAATCCCTGGCGATGTAGGCATCATGGGTAAGCACTTTCGGAAAATCCTAGGAAAAGACAGCTGCCTAGTGTTCCCAGGTTTCCAATGAATATCTAACTGAAATCAAGAAAACATTTTATTCTGAATCAATGATGATTTGTATTTATTTGGAAATTGATAGGATACATATCATATGGGATAGATAAAATGCAGGGATATGAATGTGTGTGTGTGTGTATGTGTCAGTTATAATTATGAATATTCAAAAGTGTATCTTTGACTGTGTGGACCATGATACTGGTTAACTCACTTAAGAAGCTCTCATAAAAAGAACATTAATTTGAATTGTTTCTATAGTTTGATTCTTACGAGAATTTAATTTACATCCATATACAATATATATTTAATTCATACTGACTTAAATAACTGTCAAGCAGAAATTTTACTGTATCTCTTCTCCTATGTAGTAAAATTATTCAGGTATATATCACAGCATAGTCATCATAGTTGTTTGTTTTTTTAAATTAAATTGGCTCTATATAAAATACAACAATGAAATCGCTTTCGTTGACGAATAAATAATAGAAATATTGATGATTAACTAATACTCTGAGAATTGTTATCTTCACCTTGTGTTTCCTTGAGATACTGATGGTGAGAAGATAAGATACATTCAATACTGAATGGAGAATAATTGGATCTACTCAATTGTCTGTTATTCTCGAAACAATTATTTAAAGTACTTATATGAAACTGTTGTGATTCTATGATGTTATTTTGAGAAGATAATTGTTTGTTAAAGGTTGTACAATAATTTTTCCACTGTAGTCCATCTTTCTGTAAATTTATGCCTAAAGTTGAATGATTCAGTTGAAAGTTATTCCATAATGATTGAGGAAAAACTAAGTTTGGATTATTCGAACAAATATTGGACTGCTGGTAAAAAGATAAAGGTTTTGAAGATAATTGTATATAGTTTTTTGTGTAGTAATATGTGAAGATTCAGACGGGACTAAATTCAATGGAGTCTCATCGGTTATAGAGTCTAGGTTTTTGCAATCATTTGACTGAAAATCTAACGATTGATATTTCGTTGTGTTGTCTTAGCTAAAGAACCTTTTGGTGTATGGTTCAGTTTAGCTTCAGTTTGTTTTTTCTTTACGCCTTGTATACGTTTTTCAATGAGTTTACGTCTTCTCTTCTCTAAACGATTCGCTTCTCGTTTTAATAATTCTTTTGGATCAATTGGTTCACCTGAACATGTGATCAATTGAGCATTATGAGCTGGTCTCCCAGGTCCTATGAGTTAAACATAAAATTATTAGATGACATAAAATATTAACAAACTTTATGGAAAAACAATAAAATTGACTGAAATGATGAAGCGTATTATCAATGAATAGGTTTGGAGTCATTAAATAGAATTGGTAACATATTTCACGACTCAACCCCGCTTTATCGAATAAAGTCGTTAGTTTTCCTGGTCATCATTGTGAGTTAATAGATTAATTCATTGACATAGTTTTGTTCCGCATAACTAAGGCATCTTCAGGTAATAGTATCTGTAGTGAAATTTCAGATTTATTGTTTTGATAATTAAATAGTATCTGGATATTCTCTTTTTGTTTCATACTCTAAAAGGAATCATCTACCAAGAAACCGTACCCATAATCTTCCTGATTGTCGTCGACTGCACTGGATCATGCAACAAACAGTGAGGAGTGAGATGACGGGGAATCGCTGGCTGGACCTGGGAAGAGATTCCAGAAGATTTGGATTTCGCCACCAATGACGATTTGTGTCTAATATCTTGTCGCACAAACTCGAAGATCTACAGGCAAAAACTAACAAGTTGACAGAAGAGGCGAGGCAGGGCAGCGAAGGAAGATGGGACTTCATGTGAATGTATAGAAGACAGAGGTGATGAAGATACCCAACAACAACAACAACAACAACAACAACAACAACAACAAGCTCCAATCACCGTCAACAGGAGAAACTTAAAGGAAGTAGCCTCCTTCACCTATCTAGGAAGCACTGTTTCAAGTACAGGTGGCACAGGCACAGGCACAGGCACAGACAAGGATGTCAAAGCCAGTCAGCATCGAAACACAACAAGACAGGCGTTCATTAGCCTGAAACCAGTGTGCAGATCTGCTTCACTCCACTCAGCACAAAGCGTGAACAACATCCACATTTTCAACACCAATCCAGTCAAGTCAGTGCTCTGTATGTTTGAGAGACTTGGCGCGTTACCAAAGAGATTTCCAACAAACTACACACACTCATCAACAACTGCCACCTACACTGGCTCATTATTGAAGATCAGATGGATTGCCAGAATAATGAGAATAAGCGACAGGGAACTCTGGCAACAAACCAACCAAGAAGCTATCACTCAAGAAATATGCAGTGGAAGGAAGTGGGGGTGGATTGGGCATGCAGTGAGAAGGCTGAGTGGGTATATCACGAGCTAGGCCAGTTTCTCGAGTGGAACCCTGATGGGGAGCGACGATTTGGGCGTCCCAGATGAGGGTGACATGGAGGAGATTGTGTGGTGAGGAAATGAGAGTTTGTTGGCTGTCGTGGAGTCAGGTTCCAAAGTTTGCAGAGGAGAGAGTGGAATGGAGACGTGCTACTGAATCCCTATCTTCTATTAGGAACCCAAAGGAAACAAATAATAATAATAGTAATAATAGTTAGGATATTCAATGTTACAACTGTGATATATACATTTAAGGGGAAACTGTTGCTTATTTAGAAGGATGCTACTGCTTGAACAAGAATAAGTGTGATCTGATTGCAAATATCTTATTTTAATCATAAATGAAACCACTGTTTTCGGTCAAGGGATTAATCGCACTTCTAGGTGACACGAAAAATTCACAGTCTCCTATATTTCTACATTCTTCATCATGTATACATTAACATATGTAGTTACCACTTAGTAAACACCAAATAACTTTCGCTAAAATCATTAATCAGTAAAGCAAACAATTCAGTTCCCAAAATTTATTTTCTTTAAGAACTGTATCTTTTATCTTTTGATTTTATCTCCATTTATTGAATTATTTATGCCTTCTGTAACCACATCCAGCAGAAAACTACTCGCTAGGTGTCGAGTCTAGGAATCCTGGGTCTCGTAGAGTACAGATCAACCATCTAGCCACTGGATTGGAGTTAAATGGTTCACAGATTCTAACTTTTATCAGTTTGAGATATAATGGGTTTATCCACTTGATTTAGACAGTTTCAGTGATTCATTTAACCCATTGTTGCATGTTTATTATGGTACAGGGATGTGAGAAAAATAGAATTGATCGTAAGAAATGCTTTCATTCAGTCGACAGATGATTACAGCTAGGTAAGACGATGAAGGGGTGTCTTTTTAATGAAGTCATTTTCTAAGCGAAAAATTTCTGCCAACATGTGACTGAATAGAATGATCTAATCTACTTTATTGTCTCTTTAAAAGGAGAATCTTTTAGTTAATTATTATATAGATTGAATAAGCTCTTAAATCAGTTATAAAATTACCTTAATAACCGTAAGAAGTATGGATTAGTTAATACTGGGATACGAAACAATGATCAAATTTAATAAGGCCATTCGGGATATATTTTTATTGCAGTTTCCATTAGTTATGCAATATAGCGTAACCTCTGCGCAACCAAAACTGAGTATAAAAGCACATAGATTGGTTACTGAAGCATAACCAACCTGATGTTACCCATATGACTCTAAATACTAGTTTAGCAAGGACTAAAATAGCTAATCAGGTTTCTTGATTTCAGTTGAAAAGGCTGATTTTCATAAAGTTTAGATATCTAATCGGTTACTTCAGTTGTTGTTAGGGTAGCCATTACAGTCACTCATGTTATCTATCCCTAAATGATGACCGAATTCTGTTGATCATTTTTCAGTGTGGTTGACAAGTTAGAAAGCTCATCATTTTGATGTACTTTGACTGATGATGTTAGGCTGTTGAGGGACTCTGAAGTGACCTTAAGAGCCACAGTAACACCAACTGAAATAACTAAATGGATTCTTAAGTCTATCAAAAAAGGTAAATTTAGACAGAAATTAACAAAGCTGATTTGTTATTTCAGTAGTTGCTAGGGTGGACAACAGTTGAACGAACATCTTTAAAGGTTACCCTAATAACTGCTGAGGAAACCAATTACATTTCTGTATTTTCTGGAAAACTAATTTTTAAGACTAAATACTGAAACCTGATTGGTGATTTCATCAGTTGGTAGGGTGGCCTTTAAAATCATTCATTACAGCTGAATTTGGTTAAGCTTATCATCTTTTTACACAGTGTATTTGCATGTAAATTTTCAACTTGAGATTACTCAGTCCAGTTAACTGAAAGTAAAACTTATAATTATTTGTCTTCATTTAGCTTATCTGTCTTAGCGGAAATAAATGTATTCGATCCTAATAGATTCACCTAGAGAGATCGATCAGTTCAGTCTAATCAAAGACGCGATAATACAAGCAACAACAAAACTGTATCCATTACACAAGAAATGGCTGTCATTCTCGGTGCCCTACTGAATGATGCTCTGGCTTTTGAAACGGTTAATCCTGGTTTTGAGTCTTAGTAGGGACAACATGGCTCATTGGGAGAGAGGTACATCCAGCTGACGAATCCTGAATAGAACGAAACAAGTGTCTTGGATTCAACTGCTAGCCACTAACCTAAGATTGATTTAACCTTGAAAATGAAACACAAAGAACACAGCGTATCATTAAATCTGGTTACTCACCTTTACGCGTATGTTCTCGTTTACGCCATTTAGCTCTTCGATTTTGGAACCAAACCTTTCAAAATAGGAATTCAAAATGAAAGAAATGTTGATTATCATACTGAACATGTTTTAATAAATTTCTTAACTAGCAGTGGGTGACTTTACAGGCAACCCTAGTAACTCCTGGGATAACCAATTACTTCTCTCTATTTAATGAAAAATCACCTCTCCATCTAGAATACCGAAATGTGATCGGTTATCTCAACAGTTGATAGGATGATCTTTAAAGTCACTCCTAGTAATGCCGGAAACCCAGTGGTCTCTGGTTCAAATCCGGTCAAGGTTTAAATTTTCATTTCACCTTCAATCATCACTGAGTTTAAATGGTTTGATTAGCTTCTGAGAAGTCCATTCAAATTAAATGAATGTATACGCAAATTTTCTATGCACAGTGGATCACTGAATTCTGTGCAACATTCGATAATGTTCTTGGCGGATCATAGTTATTAATGTAGGCACAACAAAAAAGAGGCTAATAGTACAGTAACTCTAGATTCAAAGCCGAATTCGCCAAGAAGAGCTTAGTTTAATGAAAAGTTGTTTTGGAACGCATAAAAGTGGTATAAACTTTCGAATGGCAAATGCCTAGGAAACCTTAAAATGCATCCCCCAACAGATTAAATCTACGGGCTTAAATGACGTTTGTGCATCCATTTCATGCACCGTTTCAAAAATATGTTTGACTATTGAGGAGCTAAAACGTTTGTTACCAACGTCAAGCGACTCCATTTGTGAGTTTTTCCCATGAATGTGAGCATATTTACATTTAAATGTGATCGCATATACATTGGGAGGACTCATCGATCATTGAATATAAGGGTCACGGAAGACATTCCAAAGTGGCTTTACAAACAAACAGAGTCAACTGATCCAACTGACGTTGAAAAAACGTTCTAGCTTCTCAAAAGCCAAACATATTATTGAAATAGTTCATGAAATGGACGCACAAACGTCATTTAAGCCCATCCATTCGATCTGTTTTGGATGTATCTTGAGGTCTGTTGAAGCATCAGACTTCAGGGTGTTTATGCCACCTTAATGCTCTCAAAAACAATAAACTTCCCTTAGCGAAATTCGGCTTTCAACCTTAGGTTATTGTACTGATAAACAATATCCTGGTTTTTGTTACGTTGTGCTGAAAAAAAGAAGCCTTTTCTAGTCTAGAAATGTTATCTCTATTGTAGTGATCTGACTGATTAATTTTTTTAAACAGGTTACAGGATCAACCGATATCAATGAGAGGACGGTTGAGCACCTAGAAGTATCTGATGAATATTTCGCTTCTTTCTCAGGCCTTTTGATAATCGATAGTCTTGGCTCCGTGATGAAGTCTAGCCCCAAAAATTCATATCTCACATGAGGCATATTGGTGATAAAAACTACTTTCACACTGATCTGTTCCTTATCAGCTACTCAGGCGATCAGATTTCCGACGGTTAATCGATGTCTGTTTTCCTCTAAGCAGTTCGTAGGCTAAGTATCTTCCTTTTTATTCATTGTTATCCGTTTGATTTAAGTGACTTACTTTTGAATGTTGTCAGGCAGATCTCCACTATACATTCAAAAGTACCTGTAATGATTAGTGAAGTGACCAGAATAATACGGGGTTATGGTTTTCTAACAAACCACTAGATTCACGAATGAGAGAAATTTCTATTTTATCAATGCAAATACTTCAAAGTATGACTGTAAATAGATGAGCACTCTAATACTTCAGCCATACCACTGCAGTCATTAGAAGGTAAGATTTTTCCAGTGAAATAGAAAAAATGATAAAAAATAACTACTTTTATAGTTGTTTTGCATTATCACTAACCGATAGGTTGTGTAAATAAAGCTACCTTCTTCTAAAGTGATCTAAAGCGAACTGATTAGCATATCATCCAAGAGAATGAAACATTAGAAAAACACTTTATATAGACAAAGGATGAGTAAATAGTCGACAGCTTGCATAGGAAATATTCAGCAATAGGATATCATTCTCTTCGTCTTGACGATCATAAAAGTGTTGTCACTTTTTTCAGCTACTGCTACCTCTATTGTTAACTACTGATCTCCTACGGAAGTGGACCAATACTGAAGTGTACCCGTAGGGATTATCCTTTCGAATCGCATCAAAGTATAAACCCTATTTTTATTTCTCATTGTATATGCTGTGTTCATAACAGCAAAATCCGATATCCAAATAGTGTACACATTAGTGAAACAGCTATTAAATTATTTTCATGCATTTCATAACCTAGCCTGGTTAACTAGTTACTAGCTGGTCCTAAGCCTGGGTAAAGAGGGGAGGTTGGGCATAGGGCTAGCAACCCTACCCCGGAAAACAAATCTAACCGCTGAAGAAACTTCGAAGCACAAACAAAATATAAAAAATAAAAACAAAATTATTCCTCGCTGGAATCGGAGAGGCGAAATGACGCCTGTTGGTGAAAGCCTTCGGGAAGCCAATTGGCCGATGTGTCTTCTCTCGATGAAAGCGAAACCAAACATGGGGACATGGAATGTCGGCACGATGTTTGAACCCAGCAAGGCAGCCCAGATTGCAAACCAGATGAGAAGGTATCACATTGAAGTGCTTGGAATTCGCGAAAAAAGCAGATGGAGTGGGAGTGGACTCTCCAAACTCTTAACTGGACAGTCAATAGTCTACTCCGATATTGTCACCTAGACGACAACCAAGAGCACACTGAGGTTTGGAATGGCTATCATGATGTCTCCAATAGCATCGAAGGCTCTCATGCAGTGGGTACCAATCTCTTCCAGCATCAGGATCATGACAGCAAGGTTCAACTCGAAAGGAAGGAAAGTCACAATCATACAATGCTACGCTATGCACCTACAAATAATGGAGATCAGTCGAAGGAGGAGTAGTTCTACAGACAACTGCAAGCAGTACCAATCAGGACCCCACACCAGTTGGAGACACCAAAATTCTAATGGGAGGGGTGACATGAATGTCAAACTGAATACAATGTATAAAACACTAGACAAAGAAGTGAAGAAGAGTGCATGAAAAGACAAAAGACACTTCCACGACACAATGGCAAGTGAAGTAGAACAGGCTGCAGGTAGGAGAGACCTGATAACACTGCATCAAATAACCAGGTTACTATCTGGAAGAGATCAACACACATGAGACCAATAAAAGATGATGATGGAAATTTAATTACGAAAGAAGAGAAACAAAGAAAACGACAGGCCAACCACTTCAAGAAGCTCTTGAATCGACCACCACCTGCACTTCGTTCAGAAATACCACCAGCATCCAAGCCACGTAACTACAAGTAAACATAAATCCTTCAACAAAAGTGGAATTCCCAAGCGCCATAAAGCTACTGAAGTGCGGGAAAGCGGTAGAACCAGATGGAATTCCTTCAGAAGCACTGAAAACAAGCAGAGACAACAGCGGACATACTCACACCACTATTGCAGAATGTGTGGAAGGAAGGAAAGGTACCTGCCAACTGATTGGAAGTGGGACGACCATGTCGAACCTCCTAGAGGGGTGATCTAAGTGTTTGCAAGAACTGGCGCGGAATCATGCTGCTGTTCACCCCAATCAAAATATTAAGCCGCATCGTCCTAAAGAGACTAAAGGATGCGTTGGATTCAAAACTACGACCCAAACAGGCTGGCTGGATTCAGGAAGTACAAATCATGTGCGAACCAAATTGCAACGCTTCACTACACATCATCATAGAACACAGCACAGAATGGCAGTCAACCCTCTACCTCAACTTCATCGACTTTGAGAAGGCCTTCGACAGCATCGACCGAGAGGTAATTTGGAAACTGCTTCAACACTATGGGATACCACAAACACTTATCAGCCTCATTCAACAGCTATATGAAGAGGCCACATGCCAGCCAAGTAATTCACAATGGGAAGCTCAGGTCAGTAATGCTTTTGAAGTGAAGACAGGAGTGAAACAAGGCTGCCACCTACTAACACCCATGATATTCCTGATTGTCGTCGACTGCACTGGATCATGCAACAAACAGTGAGGAGTGAGATGACGGGGAATCGCTGGCTGGACCTGGGAAGAGATTCCAGAAGATTTGGATTTCGCCGCCAATGACGATTTATGTCTAATGTCTTGTCGCACAAACTCGAAGATCTACAGGCAAAAACTAACAAGTTGACAGAAGAGGCGAGGCAGGGCAGCGAAGGAAGATGGGACTTCATGTGATGAATGTATAGAAGACAGAGGTGATGAAGATACCCAACAACAACAACAACAACAACAACAAGCTCCAATCACCGTCAACAGGAGAAACTTAAGGAAGTAGCCTCCTTCACCTATCTAGGCAGCACTGTTTCAAGTACAGGTGGCACAGGCACAGGCACAGGCACAGACAAGGATGTCAAAGCCAGCCAGCATCGGAAACACAACAAGACAGGCGTTCATTAGCCTGAAACCAGTGTGCAGATCTGCTTCACTACACTCAGCACTAAGCGTGAACAACATCCACATTTTCAACACCAATCCAGTCAAGTCAGTGCTCCTGTATGTTTGAGAGACTTGACGCGTTACCAAAGAGATTTCCAACAAACTACACACACTCATCAACAACTGCCACCTACACTGGCTCATTATTGAAGATCAGATGGATTGCCAGAATAATGAGAATAAGCGACAGGGAACTCTGGCAACAAACCAACCAGGAAGCTATCACTCAGAAATATGCAGTGGAAGGAAGTGGGGGTGGATTGGGCATGCAGTGAGAAGGCCGAGTGGGTATATCACGAGCTAGGCCAGTTTCTCGAGTGGAACCCTGATGGGAGCGACGATTTGGGCGTCCCAGATGAGGGTGACATGGAGGAGATTGTGTGGTGAGGAAATGAGAGTTTGTTGGCTGTCGTGGAGTCAGGTTCCAAAGTTTGCAGAGGAGAGAGTGGAATGGAGACGTGCTACTGAATCCCTATGTTCTATTAGGAACCAAGGGACAAATAGTATCAATAATATAATTTCATATCCATTTTTGTTGAGAATTTATCAGCCGGCAATCAAGAACTAAAATTTCCTACGATTATCACAGTTCCATTTTATTGTACTTTAATAAGTTAGTGAAGTATATAAGTGTTATTTATCGTCCTGTCAGAAACTGATGGATCTAGAATTTACAGTGGAAATTATCTGATAGAAAATGGATCATTGGGTTCAAAGTAATAAACTAGCCATGACAACTTGTGTTAAAAGTAGTTACTTCCATATTGCATCACTAACCAAAGAAGGAGTTTAAACGATATCGAGGGACGCACATGTGAATGAAACAGAAGAAACTTTCTTCCCAACTTTCAGGGCATATTTATATAGTCACCTTAATTTCTTCTAACTTCAAATTATTTTTCTACATAACTTCATTTCAGAAGTAGCATTCATCATGGAATGACATCAGTTGGGGAACCATTGAAAATCTGGAGCACTGGATAGCTGTTTCATCCAACTAATATGGGACTCCTCAGGAGTACGCACCCACGACCCGGTTAGGGACCGAACTCATGAACTTCAGGTTTCACGGTGAACGCGTTAACCATTCAGCCACTGGGTAGGTTTCCAGTGGTTCACAATTTCCAACTTCTGTCAATTCACGACATAGCGGGACTGTCATCCAAGGTCTTCAGTTAGCATCCACTTCACTCCGACTAGTTGACCCCACAGGTCACGGCTTCTGATTAGAGCTTCCTAATATCCCTCTGGAAGCGTGTCACTAATGAGCACTATACAGTAATGTATTTTTGAGATTTTCAATGGTTCCCCAACTGATGTCAGTCCATTATGAATACTACTTCTAGATTTAAAAAAATCCCCATTCATCTCAAAATACAATTTTATTTTATCTGATTTGAAAAGATTATAGATAGCAGAAATCCTCAACCCATTCACTCATTTAGTAGTCACTGAAACTGACCGATTTAACGAAGTTGGTAATGAATGCCGTCCACCTTAATCAGAATGTTTTAAAAGAGGCACAGGAAAATAACATGAAAAATTTGAAAACAGACTGTACATAAAAAAAAACTCATTTACTGTTCGACAACAGTAATATTTTATCATCTCAGTCAATTAATAAGCATCCTCTGTGGTATTGACGATATAACTAACATCAGGGTTATATAATTATTATATGAAACTAAAAGTTACGGGGTTCAAGCTTTGTTATGATGTTTCCTACTTGATAAGGAAACCGATCTACCCAGTTTATGTTGGAATTTCCATAGATCTGAAAACCGACCTGGAAATTTAAGTAAAGACTAGTGAGTAGAACTATCTCTTAAGGATTGAAATAAAAGTTATTAACAACTAAATTTACTTACTTGTATACGAGATTCAGGTAAGCCAAGACGTTGAGCCAGTTCTTCTCTTACAACCATACTTGGATAATGACTTACACGAAAAACTAATTCAAGTTCACTTAATTGTTGTCCAGAGAAATTAGTACGTGTTCGCCTCTGACGTTTACTATCACCGATATTATTACTGTCATCATCATAATCATTATCATTATCATCTTCACTGTCACCAGTATCATTTATATCACTGCCAGTTATAGAAGCACTTTTATGTTTGTCATATAACTTTATATCAGATGAGAAATGTATACCATCAATATCATCATCATCATCCTCATCAAAGTTATTGTGTTCATTTCGTTTTGAATTATTATTATTATTATTATTACGTTCAGAAAGTATTTCACCGTCTGATATACATCCACTATTCGCTTCATAATCTTCTCCTTTCTGTTTTTCATTAACATTTACTTTGAATTGAAACATTGAATCTTTTGTTTTACTCTTATAATGAAGTGATTTATAATTTGTTTTAACTTCTAATATTGGTGAATAACGTGAAGAAAATTCTTTTGATTTTTTGCATAAAGATATATCCTCTGAACTAACATTTGATGGCTCATATTGTGAACAGATATTTACTTGTACATCTATATTATAAAATGAAAAAAAGATTTATTGAAAAATGAACTTTTAAAAGTCTTGTTTTGCTAAACAGTGATTAACTGAAATATTAGTCTTTTACAAAGAAGAATAGAACACCAATTCTCTAGGAAATAAACATTATAATAACTGACATAGTCGTGGCTAGCTGTGGAGTCAACGACACGCTTTTCGTCCTATTTAGGACTTGTTGGCTAGATCCAACTGCACTCTAGTGAATAGTGTTGTTCCCACTGAGAAGTGAACCCAAGACCGATAGCTTCAAATGCCGAAACGTTATCTACTAGGCATAGGGTTGTTGATACTTGTAATTCTCCGTTGCTATGCTGGATTGAATTGACCCACCTCTGTTGGGATGTAAGCTCGTATACAGATACCTCAATATTGCCTGAATGTAAATTGCTATAATTGTTGAGTCTAAAATAGGACGAAATAAGCATCCCTGTTCCCACTGCTATCCACAACCAAATTACTTTTATTTATTATTACTACTCAGGTAGTATCGAGGCATCGGAATAGTAGGCCGTATGCCAACAAAGGTCAAGCAGTTCAACCCAGTATAACAAAGAGGAACTAAAAGTGTCAACAAATAGTAATATTCAATTTTGAGATTTGGGTCTTATTGACTTCAGGTTGGTATTCATCTTGGACTGACAAGTTGGAGAAAAATTGGAAACCTGGGAGTAGTGGACGGTCGTTTCATCCTAGTTGATAAATTCCCACAAACCTCAAAACTGAATTAATCTGGTGCTCATTAGTGACTAACTTTGAGAGAAGATTCTGGGAGTTCCAGTACGAAGTCATGACCTGTGCAGCCAAAAGTCGAACACGAGGACGGTTACCCAGTGACCGCTTTGGATGTAGGTCGCGCTATGTCGGGAATTGACAGAAGTAGGAAATATGTACCACTGGATTTCAACCCAGTGGGTCTGTGCTGAAGGTCCTGGGTTCGAGCCCCGGCGACGTGGGATCTTGGGTGTACACTGATGGGAGTCCCTCAGTAGGACGAAACAGTTTTTCAGTCCCCGTGGGTTTCTAATGTTCCTCCAGTTGATATCAGTCGATGAAGTAAATAGCAATATACATCGTTCATCTGAAGGAAATAAACTTCGGCAAAATGAAGGGTCTTTACATGAGAATGGATTTGAGTGGTAGTTCTGTAACAGAATGCGTCTACCAAATTCAATCGAATCATGTCAAAAATTGAAAGGTTGTTAGTTGCTTTTTTTACGCTCCCAATTTCTTTCTCGTTGAGAGGAATAAATACACATAAGGATTTGTCCATTTATAATAAAACTTTCAAATAATTGTAGATTCACTAACTTGTAAGTCTAAGTCACTGACTTGACCGAAATGATCAGCTATTATTGGTAAATAGACTTCTGCGCAGACAATGGCGATAATTTCGCTTCGTTATAATAACAGATGAGTGCCGAATAGGATGAGACGTGTGTCTTGGCTTCCTTTATTAGCCATTAACTAGCGTGCAACACGCATAGATGATGCAAACCTTTCACTAGTCATTTATATGCTCCAAATGTAAGTGGATAATTGCACAACGGCAAATTACAAGTATTAACATCAAAACTTACCTGTGTCGCACAAGCAGTGGCTACCTTGATTCACTGTGAACAACGTCACTCACTGGAAGATACCCAGCTGGTGAGTTCCAAGTAGGATGAAAAAGCATCCTAGATTCCGCTGCTAGTTACTAGTTATCACTACTAGTACATATTCTGTTAGACATAGGATATACATCAGACACTTCCTTGAAAGTCAATACATTTGTGCTCATCTTTATACCGAATAAGAGTAATCCACTTACTCAGAGCACACACTTGGAAAATAATCATGATCTTAGTGAATACTTTCACTTGTAACAAATGTACCACAAATCTATCAAATCGCTCATGGTTTATAGTCTAAGAATCATGAAATACAACTTGTTACACCTATTTATGCACTTCCACTTATCACGTTTTCATTTTGAAGTTGTATCTGAGACTCATTTTCTTTCCTTCCTTCTCCTGTGGTATATAATTATAAGACGACACCTCATTTGTATTGTAACCAGTAACACAATCCATTGTCTTCACTCAGTCATAAATCCTGATCTAATACCACTTTATACAACGAGGTTCCGTTGACAGATTGAGGTTAACAGTTTGCCTGAATTATGCCTTAGGGTATACATATATACACACATAGATTAATACTGTGGTATGTGTGAATTGAAATCGAAGATAAATTGCGTAATCACCAGCTTAGTAGCAAAAACTGATTGGAAAGTTGACAGGCAAATATCCCGTGAAGTCAACACAATTAATGTGTAGACAGGAAATTATTATTTTTGTTGGATTTGCAACATGGTTGTCTCACCTTCATCATTTTGAGAAATAATAAATGAGAAATGGGCTTGAAGAAAGAGAACAAAACTGTCTCAACACACACTCACACACACACACACACACAGATACACCGCACACTAACACCTACACACGATATACAAACACATCATGTGATAGACCTTGATACTCCCTCCATCTGTCATGACATATTCATTGTTTTATCACACCACCCACAAATTGTTTTCATGTTTACATATCAATCTTAAAGGATTTCAGTTGAAGATTGAAATATGGCTATGACACTTTAACTTGTAAATATGCTGATAACTCTTAAGCATAAATAATTTCAACCTTGAAAATAAATTATTTTTCGAAAACTCATATTTTCTGACAAATAAACTAACTGAAATACTGGTCTTCTCAATTTAGCAGATATTAAGTAATAATAATATTTTATTCAAGGCTAAATTACTCATAAACAAATATTGGCAACCGATTAACAGGAAGTTGTTTATGAGACTTATTTTGCTAAACATTATTCGGCCTTGCCAACGGAGAATAAGCCTTTCTAGTCAGGAAACTACATCCTCGGGGGGGCATAAGAACAATAATAGACTACTGTAATGATGGAAAACTTGTTAACATGATTGCATAATGAATGGTTCATATGTGGAAAACTCCAAAACTTTAAATAACAATCTCTTGTCTCTACAATTTATACATTTCACGTCTTTCTACTCATGAAGGCTTATGAAAAATAATCTAGTGGGCATTAACGCTTATTTCGACAAGTTCGTGTTGCAGGATGTTCATATGCATCTGATTTGGTGTTTTCTGATGGAGATGAAGGACTCGAAGATTCTGTGTTCAGCACGTGATGAGAAAATATACCTTAGCAATTGGAGAAATGCCAACTTGTCTAGTTTCTTTGCTTGCTATTTCACGAATTAGATTTGGGGATGTTGAATAATTTATCTAATAAAGCTTCAAAGTGTACTTTATTTCGTCACTTTGTCCTTGATTATTTAAATGTGTTAACCAACTCAAATGCAAGGGGAAATGCTTGTTGATAGCATCAACAATTGTCAGTGTACTGTATAGGAGACGAAACGAAATAAGACAGTGCTGAGCAAGGAATTTTCAGTAATTATTCAAGTAGTCGAGATCTTGTAAGGTCACTCAAATATCCTGTTTACTGTCCGCCGGCCATTTGGAATGCTTAATTTTGACGAACGAAATAATTACTCACTGCTTACTGATCTCACAACTGTTATTCAAGTTCTTCATTGAGATCATTTCCCTTCCGTTAAATAAACAAACGTAACTGAATGGCCACCTACAGAATCGTGTTCTGCACTGTAAACTGCTCTCTTCGTATTTCATTATTACTTGAAAACTGAAGTCGAAATAGTTACGTTCAACTATAAACATTCAATATCCTGTTGGAGAATCTCGTAAGCAATCTGTTGGGGAATCGTTTTGTCAACTGAGTAAAACCAACATTTTTTGTGTGTTTCAATGCAACTTTACAACTGTGGGATAAAACACTAAATTTCATCTTGAGCATAATAGTTCATATAAGTAGAGAGATATTCAGTTCTGAATAATAATTATGATTAGCATGATATTCTTTTAACTTGACTGTTAAACTGTGAAATCGTGGTTGTCATTCACTTTGATGGTGCTTTGCAGTACAATGGTGAAAATTTCCACAATAAGACATCTAGTTTCTAGAGTCTAGTATCATTCTATGGATACGCATTGCTTTTACAGGTCGGAAAAACTTTACAACAAGAATCCTGCTGGCCTTAATGCCTTACTTATATCATCATCTACTGAATGAACTGTTGGTCAAAGTGTGTAACTGATACCAATACCAACCTACGACTAATCATACATAATACTTGGTTCTTTCATCCATCATTCATTATGAAGTATTTCCTCATGTTATAGCTGACTAACTTTCTTCGAAAGTAGACTTTCAATTCGTCACACTAAATAGCAAGCTATTTGTTTCCTGAAAAACATTATGGACCAAAGTACAGATAGTTTTTAAAAGAAACGTCTGTAAAGTGACATGTCTGTTAAGGTAACTTAGTACTGTCAAACTCTGAGACATGTATATGGGGTTTATGGAATTCGACTATTTGTTATGCTGAAAGTTAGTCTGGTCATCCTACACCGCGGTTTACTCTTCAGTAGCAGTCATCTTACTGAAATAGTGAAATACACTATTGAAAATACTTTGTGATTAAGAGTTGAGACAATCTAGTCGTCAACAGTGGGAGCGAAGTCGAAGCAGAATAATTCGGGTTCAGAAGAATTGGAATGAATGTATTTTGATGAATATTTTCAGGATAGAGTCTTTAAGATTCCAACCGGTCATCTGATGTTATTCGTTATTCCCTTAGTATTATTTTCTGTTACAAATCACTTTCAAACTTTACATAATATTATGCTTACAACAATGATGACAATATTGTATTTTGATGTTAATGGAGATAATAATTTTGAGGGGTAGTATTTATCACGAACTGACAGCAGTTGTAGAAGCATTGTGAAAACCTGGACAGTTGTTTCATCCTAGTATGGGACTCCTCATGAGTGAGCAGGAAACACTGTGAAACTGTCAAATGATG